GAGAGAGAGAGAGAGAGAGAGAGAGAGAGAGAGAGAGAGAGAAGACAGATGGAATGAAATCCCTGCCTTTGGTAGATAGAGATAGGTCCAAGTGGGAACAGACTTCCTTCCCACCTGCTATGGCAGAGGCAGGAGGTTCTTCCTGGACAGGTGGGAAGGGACTGGTCCTCCAAGCCCTGATCCCTCTCCTGGCTCACATTGGAAGAAGCAGCCAAGTCACTAGATGGTGTGAGGCAGGCTCCAAACCCTCCCACCTGCCTGTTGCAGTGTAGATCATGCCATACCTAGGAGCTGAGTCCCCTTTATGATGTCATGAGGCTGAATAAGGCCTTGGGAAGTGGGGTGTGGAAATTCACTTGCCCTCCTCATCTCTCCCCGTGTCTTCAGGCCCATGGGAATTGACATTACTCCTTTGTTTGGGGCCCATGGGGGGACAGTATTAGAACCCATGTGTCCTGGGGTATCAAGGGCCCTAGCTTCCTCTCCCAGGATGACTGCCATTACAAAGAGACGATAAATAGGGTCCAGAGTCTCCTAATGGAATATGTGAGATGCTCAGAGTACAATAAAAATCATTCATCATATGAAAAAGTAGCAAAACTATAACATAAATGAGAAACATAATCTGTAGATGCTGACGCTAAGATGGGTGGGTCTCAAGACCTCTGGTAAAGATTCAGAGCAGCAACATAAACATGCTTCAACAAACACTCATGAATGCTCTTGAAATAAGTGAAAAAGAAAACTTCAGAAAAGAACAGAAGTGATACATTCAGCATCATGAGACAGTATAAAAATTTTAACTAATCTTTGACATGTACAAAGAAAGAAACTCATCGGAAGAACATGACCTTTTCAACAAACAGTATTGTAACAAAAAAAAAAAATTACCCAAGTCACACATTTTCTAAAAATTAATTCACACTGAATTATGAACCTATATGTAAAGGTAAAATTAACTTTTAAAAGCAACTAGGAGAAAACCTTTAATATCTAAAGATAAGCAAAGAATTCCTGGATATGACACCAAAAACACAACCCATAAAAAAGGGAAATTAATAAATGGGACTTGAAGAAAGTAAAACATTTAAGTCTGCAGAAGATCTGTAAAGGGGATGAATACAAAGGTGTGGACCAGAAGTAAATATTTGCAAACCACATGAGCAGCTAAACCGATGATAACCAAAGGAGTCTCAAGGCTCAGCAGGAAAATAGCAAATGATCTAATTAGAAAAGTGGAGAAAAGACATGGACAGATATTTTATTGACCAGGCAGCAGACTGGTGGTAAGTAGCACATGAAACGCTGTACAACCCAGCAGACATTAGGGTAACGTAAAATAAAACTGCAATGAGAGCTTGCTGCACACCTATCAGGATGCTAAAAACAAGAATCCATGGCAACTCTTGGGCCTGAGGAGGAGGCAGAGTTGCTGGACCGATCATGCATTGCTGAGGGGAATGTGGATAGTTTGGCAGTTTCTTAGAAAACTAAGTAAGCAAGAACCGTGGAAGCCAGTAATTGCATTCTTGGACATTAATCTCAGAGAAATAGAAATGTTCACATAACAATGAGTGCATGGGTGAATGCTAGTAGCACAGTTATTCTTAATAACCCAAACCTAGAAACAACCTGATGTCCTGGAGAGGGAGAATAGTTAAACCAACCATAGCACAGCCATTGCATGGAATGCCACTCAGAAAAATAAGAACAAGCTATTGATGCATGCAGAGACCTGGGAGAATCTGTAGAAAATAGAAATAACAATCTCACAGGTTACATAGTATATGATTGGGTTTATGGAATATTGTGGAATAAAGTATAGAACATGTTTTATGTATAATATAAGACAACATAACATAACAATATATACCTAGATTCTTTAGAATCATAGTATATAGTATACATATACAATATTCTGTATAATGTGCAATGCTACACAGAATATAATGCTACATTATAATGTTATATATGGTACATGTCATGCTACACAACATTATAAAGCAAAATTGTAAACACAGGGTGCAGGCTAGAGGTCTTCAGGGGAGGCGTCTGTGGGATGGAGCTGTTCTCAGCTCTGTCAAGGTGCAATTTTGCTATGATCTTATTGTGATTTTGCTGTTTTGCAAGATGTTACTATAGGCAGAAGCTGGGTGGAGGGTAAATCTGAATTCTGCGCATTGTCTTATAACTGCAGGTCAGTCTACAATGACCTCAAAATAGATATTTCTGCAGACATGCAAAATGCATCAGAGTTAACCAGAAAAGGAACTAAACCCTGAGGAAAGAGAGAGAATACACCAAACAGAAGAGGACTTGGAAGTGAGCATTATTACTGGCCCCTGGCTTTTACATGGGTTATAAGTAAGCAGTGGGACCCCAGATTCATGGTATGCAGTGAAACAGGTTTTTCTTTTTTCATGGTGAAATCTCACCAAAGGGCGGTGCAGCAATGAAACCCACAAGGAGGAAGATGATAAGGAATGAAATGTGAGCAAGACAGAAAAGGGGGGACACGGGACAACGAGCCACGCTCCTCCTGGGGAACACTGGGATCAAGGCAGTCCCTGAGCAGAGCTCAAAAGAACGCAGCCCAGGTAAAAGCCAGGCCTCACGCATCTTGTATACAGCGCACCTTGCTGTGGTCCCAGCTGCCACTTCCAGTCACCAGGTGTCACAGGAATGTGACTCTTGGGCCTCAAATGAACATCTTAGGTCAGAACCTCCCATGGCAGTGCCTGAAAGCATTCACAATACTCTAGGGCACACTCATGGTCTAGACCTGCTGTCGTGGGGGACGTCTCCTCCAACCATGATGTCTTGGATTGCCTGTTCAGCAGTCTGCAGCCCCGCAGCTCAGTAGCTTCTAGGACAGAGCTTCTCACACTCTGGACCTGAAAACACACAGCTTCCTGCTAAGATGCAGATTCACACCTGAGAGGTCTGGGCTGCACTGGAGGCCGTGTGTTAACAAGCTCCCTGCAGACCTGTGGCTGTTGGTGGGAGGCTCGCACCTGGGGGGTCAAGGGTCAGGGTGGCTCACCTGTGCCACGACTCCCAGTCCCACCTAATTGGCGTGGCAGGTGGCCCAGGCTGAGGATGTGAGACTCCCCAGGAGCTCTGCTGAGCTGCTGAGCCGCAAACCTCTGCTGGGGGGCACGCTTCCAGGTGGAAATGGGAAAAGGGAATTCTGTACCGAAAAGGGAACCCTGCTCCTGTAGTGAGTCAGCCTGGGGCAGCAGAGACAGGACTCCTGGGAATGACAGCCTGCTCTTTGCTGACAAATGGCTTTTACAGAGAGCAGAGGCCACACAGGGTCAGAGAAGGCTGGGCCAGGGTGTCAGGAAACTCAGAGACTATCCTGGCATCTACCCAAGAGAGAAAGGAGTCTGGGAAAGCCAGGGCTGGTGGTGGGAAGAGTTGGAGCTGCCCTGGGTCTGATCTGTCCCCTGGAGCCCTTGTTCACGAGTGACTTCAGCGCATCAACTGGAGGTCTCAGGCACCCTCACCCCAGGTGCCCTGCCCCCTGCATGGCGGGGCCTGTCTGGCTCCTTCCCTCCTCAGCACAGTGCTGGCCACACAACAGCCTCAAAATCACCCCTTCTAAGTGGCCACGACCCACAGGGCTTTGCAAGAGCCCTGCCTTGGGGACCTCTCTATTGACCCCTTCCTCTTCTTCCCCTCCTGGCTTTCCCTTCTCCTTCTTTCCCGAGCGTTGCTATCTTCTTGGAGTCTAAAACGCTGATTCTTCACTTCTGAGTCTCAGGAAGCCCTAGCACAATGATCATGATGGAGATAAGGGAAATGTGGTCAGCTTAAAAATTGGCTAAGTGAAAGGAGCTCGAGGTCTCCTGCAGGCAAGCGCAGGTGAAAATGTTTCAGGGAGATGGCGGTGAGTAGATGCCCCAGTCCTGGAGGCTCAGCCAGAGAGGGAGCCCAGCTGGGGAGCCCCATGCATAGCTGCAAGGTCTAGATGGGGGACGGAGGAATAAAACAAGGAAAGGAAGATAATTCCCCCACTGGGGATGCCTGGCCCCACAGCAACTGGCTTTGCCTGGTCTTCATGGCCACCTGTTCCAGGACATTGCTTAAACAAGCTCTGCTGAATTTCCTGAAGCTTTAGCTTTGCTTCTAAAGGACAAATTCTCATCAGTGCATGAACAATCATTAGCAGGAAAACAAAGCTTTTGACTGCCCCTTTCACTCATGGCCTAAGACTCTTGCTCCTCTTCACGCAAGAGCCACCCAGGAAACAAGGTGTCACTCTTCAGCAAACACACTCTGGCCTCAACCCCAAGTTGCTTTAGCAGGTCTTATGGATCATCTCAGGACCCACATTCAGTCAGCTTTCTCTGCTCACTGACAGCATCAACCCTCAGCACCACTGGCATTCTCCAAGGCCACCTGGCATCATCTTAGCTCTCTCCATGCTTGGCTCTGCTTGGCCTTGTCTGTCTCCAGGTGGCACTGAGGCTGCCCTTGGCCTGCGCTCTCCTCTGTCTCTCCTCACTTGCTCCTATTATGTCTTTCCCAAGTGCTCCATGCCACACTTCTGCTGCATACTACCCTTTGAATATCTGCTTATCCTCCTCTACCTGTGAATTCCCAGTTCCCACTGTAAGAGTACAAAGCTTGGCTGTAAGGCTCTGCATTTCGCATTCCTGACTGTCTGCCCATGGCTCCTGCCCCTAGAGGCTCTTGTGGGGCTGCCCTTGCCCTCCTACCTTGTGCCCACAGTGTGGACCAGCCCTTTGGTGTTCATGTTTTTGCCTGTTTTGTCTGCTGAGCTCAACTTGTGGGCTGGGGCTTCTCTCACTGCCGGCCTCAGCAGCACAGTGCTCAGAGGATTTGCACGAATCTTCCCCAAGTGCCTGAATTTATGCAGAATGATGAAGAGGTCTGTGCTGCAGGAAGAAGGAGGAGAAAGCTGGAGTCGTACTGGAGAGGACACAGAGGAGGCATGTGAGGTGACACTTTCTGAAACAGAAATACAGAATTTTTAATTCTCTTGCAGTACTGGAGATTGAAGCCAGGGCTTTTGCACTGAGCTACAGCCCCAGACCTACCTTAAATTTTGAGACAGGGTCTCACTAAGTTATCCAGGCTGAGCTTGAACTTGTGATCCTCCTGCTTCAGCCTCCCAGAGTATGGAGATTACAGGCATGCACCACCACACTGGCTTGCAGTCTTAGAGAATTTCATAAGCTGACTTTTTAACTTTTAAAGGCAAGAACACAAGCAAATGAATTTTAGGAGGGGAG